ATATTTTCTTAAAAAATCCTGAAATAAAATATCTTCAAAAGATATTTACGAAAAACACCCCAAGAAAAGAAAAAGTTCCCAAAGAACTTTGCATCCACGCCTCTATGGACACCGGGAGTAACTAGAGTACTTTCTTACAAAAGTAAACATACGTATTTCATGGAAACCACTCAAGATGAAGATACGTGAAGTCAAAACCCAACTCCGAACACAAGAATTGTGATTATGCCAACAAAGTGACACATAGAGAAAAGACAAAATAGGGAAAAAGACGAAATAAGGAAAATAACGAAAAGTGAATAGTGCCGAAAAACGAAAAATGTAAAAATGACTCGGTCCTCAAAGGAAATTGTCAATCCAAAGAAAAGAGTCTCGAAAATCCCTCCAGAGCACTCGATACGACACTAAGTGACGAGGAACTGCACTCAGAAAGGAAAAGATCAATGGAAAAAATAATAATAATAATAATATCCGTGAAAATCTGAGAAATTGAAAGGAATGAAAATGACCAGGTCATTACAGGTTCTAGCCAATGTTGCTTCTACACATGTTTGACATTTTTTATTTAAATCAATACTAAATTTAGGTATAGAATCTATGTTAGTTAATCTATGAATCGTATCATAATTAACATGTCCTAACCTACCATACCACAAATCAGATGATTCAATCATATAAGTAAAAGAAGCATTAGCTTTATTATTAGCTTTGGATACAACAGTCATTATATTGAAGTTAAATAGTCCATTACTTAGATACCCTTTTCCACATACACCTCATTCTTAGTCAACACAAACTTGTCAAATACAAAGACCAGCTTGAACCCATTCTTGCTTAGGAGTGACCCAAAAACCAAGTTCTTCTTGATGTTTGGTACATGCAACACATTATTAAGAGTGAGCTATTTTCCTGAGGTCATTAGTAACTTAATCTTTCTTTGTCCTTCAACCTTTGCAGTAGAAGAGTTTCCCATATAGAGTTGTTCTTCATTATTTATATCTATATAGGTAGTGAACATCCTCTTTTATGAGCAAACATGACAAGTAGCTCTGGTGTTCACCCACCATTCTCTATTGTTGCTCACAAGGTTGATTTTAGAAACCACAGTTGAAAGATTTAGCTTTGACACATCAACTATCAACTTATCTTCCTCAGCAATGTGCACCTCAGTGGTCTTTCTCTTGGGGTTATGTTGTGCTTTGTGGTTACGACAGTCTTTAGCTAGGTGTCATAGCTTGCCGCATATGAAGCACTTTCCGGTGAATCTCTTGTAGTTTCCTTGGTTGGGACCTTCTCCAGGGTATTTCCTCTTCTTATTCTTCTGTCCAGCTTCCACTACATTCGCCTTTGACACCATTGAAAAATTCCCGACTTTCTTTTCAGATGTGTGGTTATCTTCTTCAATTCTCAGCCTGACAACAGGTCTTCGAGCCCCATCTTCTTGTGCTTATGCTTCAAGTAGTTTTTGAAATCTTTCCAAGTAGGTGGTCATTTTTCAATGATTGAAGCTACTTGAAAAGATTCACTTAAAGTCATCTTCTCAGCATGTACCTCATGTAGGATCAACTGGAGCTCCTGCACTTCGCTCATAACTATCTTGGAGTCTATCATTCTGAAGTCCAGAAATTGTCTGACTACGAACTTCTTCAAGCTAGCATCCTCAGTTTTATATTTCTTGTCTAGTGACTCCTATAGCTCTTTAGCAGTGTTCATTGGATTGTACACATTATATAGAGTGTTATCCAATCCATTGAGGATGTAGTTCTTGCATAGGAAGTCTCTATGCTTCCATGTATCAACAACTCCTAGCTTTGTAATGTCAGTTTCTCTTTCTTCTAGCACTGAGGTAGTTTCAGCTAGGTACTTGCTCAGATTTAGAGTTGTAAGGTAGAACATCATTTTCTGTTACCACCTTTTAAACTTCGCCCCATTAAATTTTTTCGGCTTCTCCCCATAACTGACAAGAACATTAGGCATAGTAGTACTTGTACTTGCCATTCGTCTGTTATATATTAAATATACAGAGTACAGTCAAATTTATAAAAATAAAATAACAACAATATTTAAATAATTAAACTATAGTATAAGCCAAATCTGTCTTAAGATTGTAGTCCAAGATATGGTCTAAGTATACCATACACTATAGTATTACTATTTCAATATTATATATAAATATAATGTGTGTAAATATAATTATTGTTATAAAATAATATATATATATATATATATATATATATATATATATATAATATCTTATAAAATAAAGTAAAACAAAATAAAAGAACCTGAAAATAAGTCGAGATTAGAATTTGATTCTATATCCTTAAGACAGATTCGCCCCGCTATGGTGCTAACGGACTCAATGACGTCTATCTCCCAGGATGCAACGACTTTTACTTCCTTCGGTAGTAGCACTGCAAACTAAAGGGATAGACGAACTAGTTTAGTGTAGTACTCTCTGACTCAAACTTAGACTCGGAGTGATTGACTAAGGCTCAAACCTAAAGACAAGGGTTCGTACCCACAGACACTTATAGAAGAAGAAAGATGAAGGAGAGAATTCAGAATTAGAGAAAAGGATTTTGAATTGGAGTGCTTTGGAATGAACTCAAGGGGGGTTTATATAGGCCTCATGGTGCCTTTTGGTTTTAATATTTTTCCAATGTGAGACAAACATTTTGCAAACCCATTTAGGCTTATTAAACACCTTACTTTGAAGCTAATTTCTCATTCATCCGGAAACGGATTTGAGAAAGTAAATATACCACGTTCATCTCCTTGCGGAGAGGAACGCGCTCGTCTATAGATCTGCAAAAAATTTTTAGCGGAATCTATTCAAAATCTCATCCAAAGTTTATGTTTTTAATGCCCCCGTTTCCAACAGAGTATACCGAACATATGTAAATGGAAAGGAGAGAGCAGAAATAGGTTTTAATTGGAATAAAAGAATGCAAAAGTTTTTTTATTGGAAGATGAGATATAAATGTCATATTGTAAGGTATTTTTGAGATTAATAAAAAAATATCAATCATGTGTATCATAATATGGACAAAAAGTGGTTGGAGGTGAAATGTAAGGAAAAAAATATTGCTCACTTTTAAAATTATAGGGACTGACTTGTTCACTTTAATACCATAAGGGAGTATTGTGCTCATTTGGCGAAACATTACAATTTTTTTTTGCGCTTTTGCCAACCAATTATTGCTGGATTTAACAAAACTGTTCATCTTCCTCTCTCTATGTAAACTTACTTCAAACAAATGAACATCCAAGTCATCAAAAATACGGCGTCTCAAGAGTAATGGGAACATCTATTGCATTGCACTATCACGACTGTCTGATGTAGTACAATAAAATTTAGAATAATCACTTATAGGAAACAGTGAATCATATCTGATTTTTTTTTTTTTTCAACGATTACGAAGTTCTTTTTATTTAGTTCACGTGTGAACTGGACTTGCCAAAGAATTGTACCGTCATTTTATAAGAGGTCCACCCAGTGATGAATAAACAAAAAGTTTGGAATATCAGTGCATGGATCGGTGTGTCTTTTAATGTTTTACGATGAGAAAACGTAATAACTCTAAGGTATTTTGGGTGTGCGGTCATGCCGTCAGTGCATTTCATCCAATGACAATGTCTTATTTCAAAAAAAGTTAATTTACTTATTTATAAAATTACTGATTACAAGATAATTAATCTGTTATATTTTATTTGATAAATACACTAATGACTTGACGCGTCTAGCAACCCAATAACTACTCCTAATGAGAACCTCTTAATGGTATTACATTTCAAACAAGACTTGAGTTCTCCCTCTTAAAGATAATGTATGGACACATTATTCTTATTTAGACTGTTAATGTGGACCAATAAAATATGAACAAATTATTTTTAATTATCAAATCATAAATGGTGGGATAACGCTCACTTTACAAAATAAAAATAATAATTAAAATAGGATATGTGCATGTTTTTCATATACATGTGAATCTTAGCCAATGACATTTGAATAAACTAAAAGCAACGTCTTGATAGTTGAAAGTAAAAAGCGATTTTGAAGTGGAAAGTGGCCGACAATTACCCTAATGGGTTCTGTAATTAGATGAAGATATTATATGATATGATACTGGGGGCCCAATAATTTCTCAATTCCTAGATACGCTTTTTCGTGTTAAAACAATGGCATGCCACTTCCTCGTGAATTGTGATTGGCGGTTCGTTGCATTGTCCGACAATTACCCTAATGGGTTCTGTAATTAGATGAAGATATTATATGATATGATACTGGGGGCCCAATAATTTCTCAATTCCTAGATACGCTTTTTCGTGTTAAAACAATGGCATGCCACTTCCTCGTGAATTGTGATTGGCGGTTCGTTGCATTGTCTGATACTTGATCTTTTTTGAAGCGATTTTTTCTAAGTCCATTATATCACAATCAATAGTACAAATCATGTTTTAAATAAATAAATTGATATGAATGTCTTGCGTCTTGACTGGTTTCAATGCGTTTTTTATTAATTAGTAGTAGAAAGGTTGTTGGTGGACAAAAAAAAAAAAAAAAAAAAAAAAAAAAAAAAAAAAAAAACTCAAACTCCGGAAGCACTATGTTTTTTTTGAGTCAGGATTGGGTTCAGTAGCAAAGTAAAACATGAAAGAATTATTACTTTTGTTATTATTTGAATAATATTATATTTATTTTTTAAAAGGAGATCAAAATCAAAAAACCAAATTAGTGTTGCTTAATATTTTGCCCTTAGATATGAACAATAAACAAATAAAATACAAAATAAAAAACTATAAATGATATTTTTATCTAGTCATTTTATTTTTCAAACTTTTAATACTTTTTTACTAGAATATTTTCATATTTTTTATTTCAAAAATTTTGTAAAAATTTTATGTGAAATATATTTTCAATTACTATTGAATATACTGCACAACAAAAAAATTATTTAGTTTCAATGGAAATATTGTCCCCCTGACAAATGTCCACTTTAGGAGGTCAGGGAGTACATGCAAAACGTTCCCATTCCGGAACCAAGAGTAAGAGCAAAACCAGAAGTACTTTTACGATCATCTACACAACTAGCCCAATCACTATCAGTATAAGACACCAATTTGAAATCATTAACATGATGGTATCTGATTCCAAATTTGAGAGTGCCATGGATGTATCTTATGACCCTTTTTGTGGCACCAAAATGGTTCTTACTTGGATTTTGCATGAACCTTGAAAGTAGACTAACTGGAAACATGATATCTGGCCTTGAGTGGGTGATATAAATTAGTCCTCCCACCAAGCTTCGAAATTCTTTTGGATCTGTTCTGACAACCCCATCATCTTGTAGAAACTTCTCATTAGCATTCATAGGAGTGTTCACTGGATTGCAATTTGACATATTAAACTTTTTCAACAAATCATAAGCATACTTTTCTTAGCACATAAAAATTCCATTGGAGTCTTGAATAATTTCCATACCCAAGAAATAGTGCAAAATACCCAAATCTGTCATCTCAAATTTTGATATCATCTTTTCCTTAAAATCATCAATCAAATGTAAACAATTTCCAGTGAATATCATGTCATCAACATAGAGGCAAACTATAAGAAATTTATCTGTACCTTGGGTTTTCACATACAATGTGGGCTCACTCAGACTTTTCTTGAAGTCATGCTCCAGAAAATACTTATCAATTTTCTTATACCACAATCTCGGTGCTTGCTTAAGTCCGTAGAGTGCTTTTTTCAGTTTGTAGACATTGTTTTCCATTCCTTTGACTTAAATATTTGAGGCTGCTTAACATACACCTCTTCTTCTAGCTCTCCATTAAGAAAAGCTGATTTAACATCAAATTGATAAACTTTCCACCTCTTTTGAGCTGCTAATGCTAGCACTGTTCTAATGGTGTCAATTCTTGCAACTGGAGAAAATGTTTCGAAGTAATCCATTCCAAGAACTTGAGCTTATCCTTTTGCAACCAATCGAGCTTTGTGTCTTTGGAGAAAGCCGTCAGAATTGTACTTGGATTTGTAAATCCACTTGAGACCAATTGCTTCTTTACCATTTGGCAAATCAACCAACTTCCATGTTTTGTTTCTTTCAATAGCATCCATCTCCTCTTGCATGGCAGCACTCCATTTAGTTTCTGTCATAGCATCTTCAAAGAAAATAGGCTCAAATGCAGCATATAAGAAATCACAAGATTCATAAATTTCAGCAAGGCTTCTAAACTTCCTTGGGGGAGAGTCATACATTTCTTCATCTATTGGTGTTGATTCAAGTAACTCTACCTCTTTAGAACTTGCATCACTACTCCAAATCCATGAATCATTTTCATTAAAGACAACATCACAACTGACCAACAATTCGTTTTTTTCAGGGTGATAAAGTCTATATCCCCTTGTCTCATTGCTATACCCAACAAAAATTCATTTTTTGCTTTTATCATCTAACTTTCCTCCTTTTTCAGTTGGAATAAGAGAATAAGCTATGGAACCAAACACTTTTAGATGACTTACAGTTGGTTTTCTCCCATGCCATGCTTCATAAGGAGTTTTTCCCTCAACTGCTTTTGTAGGAAAGAGATTAAGGAGATATACTGCAGTAGAAACAGCTTCAGCCCAAAACTTTTTGGGTAGATTTTTTTCCTTCAGCATGCGTCTTGCCGCTTCAACTATACTTCAATTTTTCAGCTCTGCAACTCCATTCTGTTGTGGAGTAAAACTTGCTGTAAGTTCTCTGTGAATCCCTGCATTTTTGCACTTCATGAAAAAATCATCGGATGTGAATTCACCACAACGATCAGTATGCAAGGTTTTCAAGAGGTAACCACTTTGCTTTTCCACAAAAGCTTTGAATTCCAAGAATATTGACAGTGCTTCAGATTTCTGTTTTAGAAAATAAACCCAAGTCGTTCGGGAATAATCGTCAACAAAAATAAGAATATACTTACTTCCTCCAAAGGATAGTGTACGCATAGGACCACAAATATCTGCATGGACAAGCCTCAAAGGTTCACGTGCTCTCTAGGATTTTCCTACCTGAAAAGGATTACGGTGTTACTTACCAAAAACACAAGATTCACATATTTCTTCATTTTTGTGCAGTAGGGGTAGTTCATTCACCATTGACTTTCTGTGTAATAAACTTAAACCACCATAATTTAAATGCCCAAACCTCTTGTGCCATAAGCTTGACTTATCACTTGTGCTAGCATTGAACACATTAAAGGAGAGCTCAGAGAATTGAAGAGGAAACATTTTATTCTCTGTCATGTTCACAGATTGCAATAATTCCTTATTACTCTTGTCATATAACATGCATTTGTCATCTTCAAAAATAGCAAAGTATCCCTTTTTCATTAATTGACCCAAACTTATTAAATTTTGAGCCAAACACCATACATAAAGAACCTCATGAATAAGTTTTTTACCAGATTTTGTATCTATTGCAATGATTCCTTTACCTCGAACTTGTACTGGCCTATCATCTCCCATACGTACCTGAGATCTCACAGATTCATCAATGTCGATAAAAATAGATTTATCACCAGACATGTGATTACTACAACCACTATCTAGATACCAAACATTCTTAAAAGTGGTAGTAAGACAAGATAGAAACAAACTTTCTTCATTAGTGTTTCCTTCATCATCTTTTTCCTTATGAAAATTCACTTGATTTTTTGGATTATGCCAACACTCTTTTTCCTTATGTCCATATTTTTCGCAAATGGAGCATTGAGGAATATTGAATCCTTATTTTTATACTAGTAATTTCTTTCAATATGGCCTTTCTCTTTACAATTATGACATACAGGAATATCACCATTACCTCTATTAGAATGCTTGTCACCATTACCTCTGTTGTAGCTTTTCCGTTTCTCATAGAACTAGTTTTTTCTTTTCTCTTAAAAAACATGTTGATTGTTTCCTCTTCCATTATGCTTCCTTCCAGCTGAATGGAAAGACGCACCTCCATTTGAAGCTTTCTTAAGGTTGATCTTTGACTGAAAAACTTGTTCCACTTTGTTCTCAGAGGACTAGTTCAGCCTTTCCTCATGCATTTTCAATGAACCCATTAATTGAGTTAATGAAAATGTAGTCAAATCTTTTGACTCTTCAATTGCAGCAACAACACTATCAAATTTGGGGGTTAGACTTCTCAAAGCTTTTTCAACTACCTTTTGATCAGTTAAGTTCTCGCCTAGAGCCTTTGCTTGATTTACAGCAGAAGTAACTCTAGTAAGATACTTATCTATTGAGTCAGAACTTTTCATCACCAAGGTTTCAAATTCACGACAAAGATTTTGTAATCTTAAAGTAATTACCTGACTTTATCCCTGATATTCATTTTGAAGTAACTCCCATGCTTCTTTAGATGATGTCGCTCCCATTATTCTTGAAAAGAGAGTTTCATCCAGTGCTTGCTAAATATATGAAAGAGCCTTAGTATCCTTTTTCTTGTTTTCTTTCATCTCATTTCTTTGGGCAGCAGTGATTCTTCCTTCTTCATTTTCATACATTGTATAACCTTTCTCAACTAATTCCATAAGTCAAGAGAGATAAACAATGTTTTCATTTTAATACACCAGAATTGATAATTATCACCTTTGAAAATGGGAAACATTGGTTGAGAGATGTGACGAGGTCGCTTGTATACGTCAAAATAATGTAGTAAATGTGCAGTTCAAGAAAAGCCTTTTAGGTCAAATTTAAATTTATAAAAACCACTACCACCACTACTACTAACATAGCAAGAGTGAGTAGGGATTGTCCTAAGGGATTATACGTGTTGGAATTTAACTTCGACTCTAGCGTATCACAAGATTGCAAAGAAGGGTTGGTTGTTTGATTACTCTAGAAAATAATTAAATTAAAATGCAATTAAAGTAAACTAGTGAGAGATAGGGATTTATGAAATATGAAGAGAGGTCTTAGGATATTGGAATCACCACTAAGCTCATGTAATTAACAACTTGCTTTCCATTAATGGGGAATACATTGTTGTGAACAAAATGCGACTACTAATTGTAATATTAAGTATGGACCATCAAATTCATGTATGAATTGTCTACTTAACCGACAAATAAATAAAGTATAGAACAATCCATCAAATCTAAGCATCACCCATCAAACTAGTCACAATTGTAGCACACATCAATCTAGAAAATCATGGAATTTGAAATAATAAGCCATGGAATATCAAATCAAGTATAGATTGTCTACCTACCTACAAGCATGAATTAAATTGTAGAACAACCCATCAAGCATAAGAATAATCCATCAAATTAATTGACAAACCCATTCAATAAAAACCCATGCTTAGCCATCACTAGATCCTTAATTAATTACACATAGACATGCAACCAATATAGAGAAACAAGTGTAGAGATCAATTCCCAAATAATCACACATAAGACAACATATAATCAAATAGAGAACCAATAGAAAGAATTAATCCATACGAATCATGTAAGAAATAATTCATAATTTAATCACATATAGATATGTAAATAAACTAGATAATTAATAAGAAGATTTAAACCATAGAAATCATAGAAATATACTAAGATTCATTAAATTCACAAAGTTAGAACACTAATCACAACAATATTTATAAATCCCCAAAAGTAGAAATACAAGGGTTTAGATTACACAAGACTTAGGGTTCATCCAAGCCCTAAGTGTAGATCTAGCCAATCATGGAGGAGGTAGATGTGGTCATGAAACCCTCAAGGGTAAGCTCCAAACATGGCTCCATCTTCTTCTTCTTCTTCTTCTCTGAAGCTCTAGAGAGAGTGTATGTGGATCTAGAGATAGGTCGTTAAGATGTGCGTCCACTTCCCTCTTTTCTTCTAACCCTAATCTCTAACTTTTTTAGAGAGAGAAAATAAAATTACAATGTAAAAGTAAAATAATAAAAAGCTCTTTTACAAATTGGGTCAATTCCCTTTATATACAAGGTCCTTTTCTTAGCCACTAAGTCAGAAATATAGCCCAAAAATATCTAATACCGCAACTTTTTGGTAGGTTGAGATCGGTGCACTCAGGAATTAGACAGCTCACTGCCAGCACATTTTTTATCGATCCAACTTTTCTTCGATCGATCAGAGAAAGTTCGATCGATCCAACTTTTGATCGATCTGGGTTCGATCGATCCAACTCTGATCGATCTCACTTTTCTGTGATAGATCTCACTTGGCAGTTTTTCAGCATCAGCCTCCTTTTGCTCCAAATTCTCACAAAGACTTAGTTTGACTCCAAAAAGGCCTTAAGAAATCATTTTTAGCTCGTTTTAACATTATTGACCTAAAAAGGGAAATAACACGAAATTAGTCTAAAACGGGAAAATACGATAAATAAAGGTCCTAGAACACTCAAGCTTAAAGGGTTTAAAAGCACACTTTTTAGCGCTCATCACCCCCCCAAACTTAAATATTGCTAGTCCCTAGCAATGAACTACGAAGTAAAGGAATGAAATGAACAACTATGCAACTACGAATCTAGAAAGCAATAAATGGATAACGCCACTTTCGTAAGGAACACGATTGCATTTAGCATATGCAACAAGCCTTTTAACCCCTAGGTTACCCCTAGTGGACGAGTGAATTCTCATGAGGGTTTCCAGATTTGATACCCACAAACATTAAGCTTATTCTCACAAAAGAGACACCAATATTACAAACAAGCATTGGAAGAAAACTACCTCAAGTATGCAATTTTTCAACCCTTTCCAAGCAATCTCCCAAAATTTCAATATCAAACAAGCAAACATGGTCCTCCACACATCAAGAAAATGATCATGCAAATCAAAACAACGCTAGAATCCTTTTTGAGTCGACCGGCATCAATTATGTTGCTATATAAGCCAACTAAAGAAATGATCACATCCTTACCTTCAAACTAGCACACAAATCTAGTACCGATCATCAAGACAAAGAGTGGAC